ATCATGCAAATTAGGTAATTAATATTCATAGATTTTTACCAAAACCTAATCAACTCTGTGCATTATCCCAGAGCATCTATGTACCAAGTTTCACCAAAATTTGATTAGTAGTTCTTGAGATAACGGTGGAACAAAAAAAGTGACATACATACATACAGACATACAGACAGGGTAACTGCAAAGACTCCCTTTTGTGCTTCGCACACGGGAGTCAAAAAATAAGCCCATTTGTTTTAAACTTACCCTTCTATTTAATGTTGAAAATTTTGTTTTACAGCAGACCATACACACTGGAGCATCTGAATCTGGGACCCAAACTGGTGAGTGATCTGTAACTACTTTCTTTCCACCTACAAAACAATTGCAATACAAAGGTCAGATAAATATACTGTAAAATACTTTATTTTCGCTTGGAATTAATTTTCGCTGAAGAAATGATTCAGTGCAAATAAAATCCAGTGAATATACATTATTTTCCAATAGTTTTACATTCAACCTGTTAAAAATCAGTGAAAATAAATTCCATACAAAACACTCAAAAAGTCTTTTCAGCGAAAATTAATTCCAGCTAAAATAAAGTATTTTACAGTAAGCAACTGAAATAAACAGAGAAGATCTCCTCAAACAAAGCAATTCCCTTCAATGAAAGCATAACAAGTTTCAAAACAAAATGATAGATGTTATACAAATCATAGACCTTATTTTCTAAGGTCTATGCACAAATGCATGTAGCTAAGATTAGAATATAACAGTTATAAAAATGTGACTCACTTCTTGCAAGAAGATCGGAGATACATTTATTAATATGTGCCATCCATTCTGACTTTTCTGTTGCCGTGGCAGCATACACAGCAAATGACTTGGTTGCACTGATAATCTGCCATCCATTATGAAGATCTGTGTGAGTAAATTATACAGAAAATACAATCACTATGGTTAGTGATTTTCAACATTTCTCATGTGATAAAGAACTGCAAAATGGTTTAAACAAGAGTTGGCAGAGCCATCTCGATGCTGGGAAAATAAGAGTATTTAAAGGTGTGTTTTGGAGCAATGGATTGGCGAACAGGCAGAAAAGCAATTTCAAAGACATTGACTTTGTTTTAATGAAAACTTGAAGAATCATGAGGGTACCTGTTATTATTTATTTATTTTGGAAACGCAATTTTTAACAGAAGGAATAAAACTAAATTAAATAATCATGTCTGTTTATTTTGAACCTTAGAAATGACTACTGTTCAACTCGGGATGTTTAATTGTACTTAGCGTATGTTACTATGAAATTCAAGAAAAACAGTCGACAATGACTAAATGCATGGCCACAGCCAAATTGCTGTTTAATTGAAATAAAACAAGTCATTGTCAATGACACGTCCCCGTTCCGTTCATATTTGAGTGACATATACATTCAAAGCAGCAACAATATGGATGTTGAACTGCATTCAGTAAAACAAAAGAGCCACCAGTCAGCCATTTTCAACACAATCCAAAAAAAAATTTAAACTAAATTTGCCCACCATGACTAAGATTCAGTTCCGGTATGGTGAAAATGTGCAATTTTTGTGAATTTTTGACCTTAAAAGGACTGGCCCAAATGCACAGGCATATGTATGATATAATGTATGATGTGTATGTGAAGTTTGAACTTGATCTGTCCAGGCATGTCCGAGATATGGATCGAAAACAAAATTCTTTAAAACAAAATGGCCGCCAGTTGGCCATTTTGAACTTGATCCAAAGAAAAATTGGTATGCATCAAGCTTATATTATGTTTAATATATGCACTAAATCTTAACAAAATCCATCCATGCATGACTGAGATCCGGTTCCGGAATTGTGAAAATATGCGATTTTGATGCATTTTCGGCCTTAAAATGGCCATCATTCAGCTATTGTTAAGCGGATCATGAAACAAATGCACATATCTATTTGTGACATGATGTACCATGTGTGTGTGAAGTTTGAACTTGATCAATCCAGACATGTCTCGGATACGGATCCAGAACTGAATTCTTTAAACAAAATGGCCGCCAGTCGGCCATTTCGAACTTGATCCGAAAAAAAAATGACGTGCATCAAGGTCCTATTATGTTTAATATATGTACCAAATTTGAAAAAATCCGTCCATGCATAACTGAGATCCGAGTCCGAAATGGTGAAAATGTGTGATTTCATGCATT